CCATTGTAAATATGTGTAGACTGTTAAAAACAAAACAAGTAAAAAAATGATTAAAAAAGATAAAAACTCATGTATTTTAGAATTATTTAATTTTTTTTTTTGATTACCTGCTCTTGTCTCAATTTTTCACCAGCGGAGGGAGCATGTGGCGGTACGTTACGAGGCACCGCAGGATCAATAACCAGCCCTGGATACCCAGCAGAGTATGAGAACAACCTGGACTGTACATGGTCAATCCTTGCTGAACCAGGGGACACTATAGCTCTTGTTTTCAATGACTTCCTATTAGAAGACAAATATGACTTCCTAGAAATCAGTGGGACAGAGGCACCAAGCATGTGGTAAGACACATCTCATAAATACATTGTGATACTAAAACAGAGAAAAAGCCTTCTAAGGATGAGGGGATCTTTGTTGGAATCAGCAGGACTGTTATTTCACTTGCTAAGTGATATATATACTTGTAGAATAAAGAGACATACATTCAAACAGCACTGACATTTAGGAGGTTAATTTGTGTACAATACTGATGTTGTATATCTTTCGAAAAAGCATTATCGTGTGGAATTACTTGCTCTCAATGAGGAAAACAGTTGCCATTTTCTGTTTTCAGAAATCTAAACTTTCAATGAAGACCTTTAATATAAAAAGAACCCTAATGGTGTTGTTTGGGTGGACAGATACAACTTCTGATTGATTAGCTGCACTGGAGTCCTGTTGATATTTTTTCTGATTTATTCAAGTCTCATTGGGCAGGTGATAAATGGTTGTGTTTTCAGTTATTTTCTGTTGTTGACTTTGAAATTGGCACTCAGTTGCTCCAGAACACATTTTGCTTTTTAAATTTAGAGCACTGTTGTAATTCACATGGTTTGCTTTGAGTATCTCACATGTCTATTGAAGGCTTACATGTGAATTTGGAAGGGAGAAGCATACTCATTTTTAAACATCCAGGGTTTTTACCATTTTAAGGTGCCAAGAAAGAAAAAAACAACAACAAAAAGAAGGTAATTTAGCTTTTTACTTTGAAACAGACAGTAGTTGACTGAATTATGTGCAGCCTTAGGGTCTGAGGGTGCAAACTAAACTCTGTGAAGCAGTAAGTTGAGGAATGAATATATTTGTTAACCTTCAGATGATAAACAATAGTGACCTCAAAACACAAATGCTGTATTTTCACACCCATTTTAGGCTATCACTTATGTGTGTTTGTTTTAAAAATAAGCAGTTATCTCAAAGAAAAGGCACTTTAGCATTTCATCATTCAGGAGTACACATACAGCTGGCTTTTTTAACATCTGTGCTGTTTTCTGTTAATTCATGTGTACTATATTTTCTGTCTATTTGTTCATAACCTTACTACAGAATGACCCTTTAAAAGATTTGAACCATCTCTTTAAATGTAGCCAACACATATTTAGGTATCATCATTTCATGTAGAAAAACTTTGATTCTGGCTTTGTAAAAATAAATAAATAAATAATACTAATGATGAATGTGTCAACAAAAAATGAGTAAAGTGAAGGACACAGGGAGAATAGCTTGAAATGGAAACAAAAGGAATGGAGAATAATTGTGCGTTAAGTGCTGTCACCAACCGAGCTGCAAACATCAACCGCGGTGTTCTCGTGATACCATTTGTGTGTTTATGTGTGTCTGTGTTCATGTGTCTGTGTCATCCCTTAAGTGGCCCTCTGACAGGGTGAGCCGTTGATCGTTTCACCCGGCTCTGACAGATTACACACACTCAGCTACTCAAACACAAAGCCCTAATGTGACAGTATAACATTCAGGGACCACTGCAATGCAGGAGAGAAACAAAATACAAAGTGTTGCAGAGGTATTACAACTAACATCAAATTATTGGTCCTAACATAACTAAACATCCATGTTATTTGATACTTGATAAGATGGAGAGAAACCCTACAACTAGGATATATTTCTTTGTATTTGTTTGATGAGTAAGGCTGTGCAATATAGCTGAAAAGTGTATCATTCTATGCAAAGACAGACAGACAGTCACACTGACGGGCGGATGAATGGACAGACGAGGGGCTAAAATGATCTTGTTAAACTACTATACAAACATAATGAGCAAGTCTCCCTTATGACACACACAAAATATGGTTTAGAAAGTATCATGTATGTGTGATTTAGAGCTAACTGTCTGCAAAGTGGGTGGGGCTGAAGTGATCTAATCAAACTACTACASCAATGTGTTGAGCAGGTTTCCCTGATGGTGCACACACAATTTGGTGCGGATCGGATCATGTATGTGTGATTTAGAGCTGACCGTGTGCAAACGGCGAGACGACAGCATTTTGCCACTCTGCCACATCCACACCATCCCGCCACCAGTCCGAAATGGCCGATACCCAGTCAGTATTGGACCATGACTCGAAGAGACTTTTTAAAAGTACTTTAAAAACTTTTTTTAAAGACGTAATACATGTCCCAAATTTTGTGATTCCAGGAGATGAGCAGAGCTGTAAAGTAACTAAGTAAAAATACTTTGTTACTGTACTTAAGTAGAAATTTTGGTTATCTGTACTTTACTTGAGYAATTATTTTTCAGTGTAATTTTTTCTTCTACTCATTACATTTTTTACACAGGTAGCTGTACTTTCTACTCACTACATTTTTTTAAAAAGGTAAGAAGTAGAAAGTCGTTWCTCCTATTTTATTCCAAGTTGCTATTACTTAAAAAATACTATCCTGATGAATTGAGTCTCCTAGATAGAGCAAATTTAATTGTGGTTGAATGAGAAGTATAAATATATATCATTCTTACACCCTATTAGCTTGTACACAACCCATCACAGCTGCACGCTGCTTGAAAAAATTTTTTCTTGAGAAGTCACCTCCCAATAAATGTCATTTAGGAAAATCTAAATGCTCACTTTTACTCAGTACTTTTACTTTTAATACTTAAGTAGATTTTGTGTAAGAAATTAACTTTTGATACTTCAGTACTAAAAATATCATATACTTTAAGACTTTTACTCAAGTAATTATTTTAGAGAAGACTTTAACTTTTACCAAAGTATTTTTATGATAAAACACTTGTACTTTTACTCAAGTATCACTTTGACGTACTTTATACAACACTGGAGATGAGAAGTAGTCGTTTTGGGCAGAGACCATCTGAAAGTCCCCCGCCTTGACAGCAGCAGACAAAAATGGCTGATTAATACTGCTACTGTACATGTTACTCAATAGGGTGTTGCTAGCTTACCAAAGAGTGAGAGAGTTACTTGATTCCACCAATCTTACTTCATTGGGCTTTAGCCGGTGGGTTGCTTCAGTAGCCGTCGTGTGTTGTTGTCACAAGCTCTGGTCCTGGTCCATAACTTACTTCCCTGAAWTTCAGCAAACTTTGAAAGCAGCATGAATAATTATTTTATGAAGCCAGAGGAAGACACATAAAGAAGAAATTGCGCTGGCATGGATAGAGGAGGTGGGTAACAATTTGACAACTTCAGTAGCTGTTGCTATGTTGTCACAATCTGTGGTCCTGTCCGGTCCGTAACTTATTTCCCTACGTAATTTTGAGAAATGTAGGTAAACTTTGTAAACAGTGTTGGGCTAATCACAGTTATTTTATGAAGCCAGAGGAAGCCACATAAGAATAAATTAAGACAGCTTGAAGAGCAGAGGTCAGTAGCAATTTCACAGTTTCAGTAGCTGTTATTGTGTGTTGCTGTCACAATCTTTCGGAAATTTCTGTAAGTGATGTTGGCAACGTTCTATCAAATGGACAGTTTTTCTATTGATACTGATCACATGTCTATGGCAAGATATATATTTTTTATCACCCAGCCTTATTGATGAGTCACTATTCAGTAAAGGAACTGAACATAAACTAACAAATACTCCATAAATATTACTTATTACTTATTAGTTTAAATAAAACTCATTTGTACACCAGCACATATAAATGGCTATCATTGCATGTTTGTTTTAAAACTAATCATACATAATTGTACAAAAAATACATTTATTCCAGCTTCAGCTTTGCACACACCCTGTCACAAAGCTAAGTACTTTTCTCCAGAGGGGGGTATTAGGTGCTGACTGACATTTTTAGTAAGGGATGTGGGCAGGTCATTCTAAAAATGACTGACACCCGACAGGACCACTGTGACGGGTGCTTCCTGTTTACGGAGAGTTTTCTGATTGGTTGTCCCAMAACCAATTTCCTATTTCATGTTCCCGTCCACTGGTTGGCAGGTTAAATCTGATGTAGTAGCTGTCACACATATCAAGACACATGCATGGACACACTCACACATATTGTGTGTGTAGAACTCCTTCACACGCACGTACAAGGCTTGTATAATGTTTTGTTCCGAAGTTTTAAACAGGTCTAAATCTTTTTTTTATATTTACAATGAACCAGACTTCCTTGGAATGTTTCAAGTCCAGACATATGTGGCTCAATGTTTTCTCACAGTAGCCTGCTGCATATGTCATTTTGTGTGTGCACATTTATTTTAATTTGGATACCAGCGGCACTTTTTTTAAAATGGTTTTGAGCCTTTTTATCTTTGTGTTGTATTAGTTGTTTTTATAAGAACAGTCCCTTGCCTCCCTGGCTGTGTTAATTATTTTGCTCGTGTTCAAATTAAAATGAGCACACATCCATTCATGCATCCTTTTTTGTGCACTGGTCCTGTTCGAGATTGTGAGGAGTTGCTGTGTGATGTGGTGCACCCTGAACGGGTCACACACATTGGTGAACTCACGTCAACAAAACCCAAATCCCGTTTTCTTTGCACTTATGCGACCCCTATCAGTTTTTTTTTTCCGACTGTTTGAACATGACAAATCTTTTGTATTTTTTCAAATCCGACCCAGGCCTTTTCAGCATGTGGTTCTAAATCGGATACATATTTGATGCTTTTCAATATAACTGCAGTCTGAACAGTCATGGCACACTTGATCTGACTTTTACATTAGTGTGGTAGCATTAGTCGGATCACTCTGAGTATTTAGAATATTTAAACCAGTCTTGTGCGGTTAAAATCTTGTAGCATCTTCAGCTAACAGATTTCAGCTGCTTCATCTCTGTTCTTTTAATTTTCCACGTCCTGGATGACTGAGAATCCACAACAATACATGATGGTAATGTCGATCTTGAACCATATCAATACTAAAGTTACTGGATCAATATTTTACTTTTAACAAGTTGCTCTAATTCCAAATAAATGCTGCAGCCAGCTACAGGATGGTTAAAATTAAACTAAATGAGAATGTCAATTATTTTTTAATATACTTTGATTGGATAATAGCTTCAGAATTCACATGCTAAAATGTAGCATCCATAGGTTACGTCTGTAAA